TTGTTGATGGTCATTGCAAAGGCGAGTCGCACCGGAAACTGCAAGCGTCTGAATTCGAATGGCATGTCTGTTGGAATCGCGTTGCAAATATTATATCCTGACCCTTAAATGTTCATGTAAAATTGTATTTACGATGATATTGGGCACCATCTTTTTCACTGAAAGCCTGGTACCAGTGCAAAGATGTGGCGGATCGATGTTTCTGAGAAGTATGACAGGCACGCCAAATTTCAAGGTTAAAACATGGGGTGGCATGCCTGGCAAATCAAGCGAATTCAAGAACTCAGTTGGATAATTGACAACCTGGTCTTGAATCATTATAGTATCGATAGACTTATACGTTGTCACTCCGCCTAGTAATTTTTCCTGACTGTTCGGATTCATGGCATACACATCCTTGTTGTTAGCTGCAAATATAGCACGTTCACTGAGCCACTGACGATTTGTGTAAGTCTGGGTGATATTAGGAAAAACTTTATGAATCAGTTCGTCTGTGGTAGCTGTAAGTTTACAGAAGTCTGTTGGCAATGTGATACATCGTGTGGATTCATCGGTTGGCATTGTCCCATTCTCAATATCCAAAAACTGTTTTGCAAAACGTTCAGCGGTTGTATCATGTAGTAGTTGTATACACATATTGGTCTTCAAAGTCAATATATGCATCATGTTGTAGTTGTATACACATATTGGTCTTCAAAGTCTATATAAGTATGTGTCGCCATACAATTTCTGCAATGAAGAATTATATCACGCGAGTTAAAGTTTCGCCATCTATAACAATCGCAACTTCATAAATTGTTGGTATATTGTACTGTCTGTCGTGTTAGCCGATGGAGGAGAATGTGAATTTAGCTTTGATCGTCAATAGCTTGTTCGTCCTCACGCACTGAATGAAATGTGACTTGAAGTATCGCTGAAAAAAAAATGAAAATATGAACATGAGATAACAATCTATTTCAACTCAAGAGAAAATGCATAGAAACTGTGCAGCAAATATTAGGAACAGTTGGTAAACAATATGAATAGGTGTCCAGTGTAGGAATAAGATTTGTGGTATATATGTCTTGCTACTGAAATAATTGACTTAACTACAGACTACCTGCAGTTGACCTGTGACGAAATTTCATGTAAATGTATATAATTTATTTGAATAATAGGAGAAAGCCAAAATTGTGTAGACATGTAAACTGTAGCAGTCGTTTGGGAGGCATAACTGCAAATCTTTGACAAAATAGTGAACAGTGTGTGAATTTAGAGAGTGTTGATCGTCCTTAGCTTGTTCGTCCCCACGCACTGAATGAAATGTGACGAAGTATCGCTGGAAAAAAAAAAAAAATAGAAATTATGAGCTTGAGATAACAATCTATTTCGACTCAAGAGGAAATGCATAGAAACTGGGCAGCAAATATTTTGAAAAGCCGGTAAACGATATGAATAGGTAGGTGTCCAGTGCCCCACTTAAATAAATGAAAGTATGAGCATGAGATAACAATCTATTTCAACTCATGAACAGGTTTCCAGTGTAGCAGTAAGATTTGTGGTATATGTCTTG